TTCCTTATACAATATTATGGGTTTGACTTCTTCAGATTCATTTTCTTCAGGTTAATAAAATAAGATAATGAATATTCCTTTAAACTGTAAATAGTTATATGGAAGCATCTTTGTAGAAACGGTTAAACCAAACTTGCCATCAAATTTTTCTTGAGAAATATCAATCATCTTTTTAATATCAATCTCACAATTTCCTATAAGAACCTTCTCATCAAGATTAAATGAATTTGTAGGGCGACTCCATAGTGAAACCGTCTCATTTAATATATTAAAGCTTGCGATGTAATTACCATCTAGTGAGATTGATACTGGAGATATTTTATCTATCCCTATAAAAAATAAATGTCCGGAAAATGTCTACGAAAATGTCCGGAAATTGTCCAGAATAAATCTGGCATGTCCAGAAATTGTCCGGAAATTGACCTGAAATATTTTTTCATAAAATTTGGCACAAAAAGATGATCAACAGGTGACCATCATTATAATTGCTTTTAACTTAAAGTTTTATATCATAGATATATAGTATTTTTGCCTGCTCAGCAAATTTAATTAGTATGACAAAGAAGGTTATGAATGTCAGTCTTGTGCTTTTTGCATTTTTTTACAAAATTAATTTATCCTTTTTTGGAAGTAGCGTCCAGAATTTGTCCAGAATTTTTTCATGTCTGGAATTTGTCCAGCTCAAATTATCTGAATTTTTACTATGTCCGGAATTTGTCTAGGTTTATCTGTCCGGAATTTGTCCAAAATTTTATACTGGATAAATTCTGGATATATTCTGGACAAAGTCCGGATATGTCAAAATTTTAGGTATCAAATTTGTAGCAAAAAATAGACATTTTCCGGACAATTTCTGGACATGCCAGATTTATTCTGAACAATTTCCAGACATTTTCGTAGACATTTTCCGGACATTTATTTTTTATAGGGCTTGATTACTTCATCCGACTTTATTATTCCAACGTATTTGCCATTATCAGTAAAGAATACCGAAATCAAGATTTCTGTTAAAAATAAAAAATTTATTAAGCGTGTAAAGTAATAAAAAAGAGATATTATACAAAATTTGGACATACCCAGGATTATTTTCGATAGTGAGTTCAAAATAATAACGACAACTGCCATCCGCATGAATCTTGTTAGAAGTGACGCTATTTTCATTATTATCTTCAATGACTTTTGTCAGGATTAAGCCATCATAACCTATTATATAATTGTCATCTTTTATTGTAAATGCGTCCCAAAACAATGATGACGCTCCCTTTTCTAAGTCCGTGCTCATATTGACAGTTAAGGTTTTGAAAGGTTTATGACATACAGTAAATTTTGGAAATTACCAACTGATGATTAATTTTATAAATTTTATACTTAATTTCTGTGTAACTCTGATTGCTAATTGATTTATTTTAGCCAATGATCAAACTTTCTCGGCATTTTCCATTAAGTAAAAATTCTTTTACTAATTCCTTTTTTAAGACATGTATAATTGTATATAACATTGACAAAACTAATCAATTCAAGTAATGATCTGTTTAAAATCTTTATTTAGTTATCATTTATCATACGGATATTTTTTCGTTATATAAATTAGAACTTCTTTATAGAATTTGGAAACTTAGAATTTCTTTAATTGCCGATCCGCCGATCAATCGGTACTCAGAATCCGCGTTTCCAATATAGGAAGGCTGATCAATTTTTAGCCAACTTAATTTTTTTTTTTGGAATATTATAATTGGAACAAAATTTTGAAAATTTTTAACTTTATACATGTTCAGGATACATTTTAAGGAGTGGAGCTATAGTATTTAATTTAAAACTAATAAGCAAAAAAATTTTTTATGCCAGAAATATGGGCGTCTGATTCATATGTGAATTACTAATTAAAGAAAACTAGGAATAATATTATAATATTGACTATATATTGAACAGAAAAAAATAATTTCGTTACATAATTATAGTGCCTATATTTATATTTTTTAAAAGAAGTGTTCTCTTTCATATGTGAGATGTTTTGTTTGAGCGGATATACAACCCCGATTTTGAACCTGTTTCCCAACCAGATTCCTGATAATTTTGGTTTAACCCAGATTTTTATATTAAGAAAGCATTCAATGTAAGGATGGTAAGCTTATGTAATACAATTATAATCAAAATTATCAAAATGGTGCGATCATCAACAAAAAAATTCAAATTCGTGTAACATAAACGTCTTGATCACGTGATAACGAACGAAAAATTGCAAAACTTTCTTCAAAAAAGATGTTTAAATTAGTTTATTGAACTTTATTGATTAAATTTTAATAAAATATTAAAATATCACACTTTTTACTAATTGGAATAAAAAAAAAATATTTATTTTAAAGACTTAACTTCAGCTCATAAAACTTTAAAATAAAGGAAACTAAGAATACTCTCATTTCTTGTTGTAAAGGAATTCGCAGTGTTAACTATGAACTTTACAAAGAATTCGTAGAAATTTGATTAGTAAGAGCTTTACACTTACAAAACTTAGATTTTAGTAAATAGAGGACTTATATTTTGTAACTGTAAAAGGAATTCGCAGCGTTTGTTGTGAGTTTTAAGAAAGTTCGCAAAAATTCAAAAAAATTTGAGAATTTTTTTATTACGACACCACATGATTGAAGATCGTACCTAATTTGAAAGTGGTTGGAAAAAATTTAATCGGTCGTAATGAATGTGATGAATGCAGTAATTTTGATGATAAAAATTCTGACATAACTCTTTAAAAAAAAAAAAATAAATTAAAATTTCGTTACTAACGAAAATTGCTTTTGTGTGAGATTTTGACTAAATTCATTCTTTTACTATATTAATTCCAACTTTTTTTTTAGCTTGTTCAAATATTCTATAAATTTATATCTAATTCCCAATATGGAGCTATATACTGTAAGAATCACGAAAATTGGTCTTTTAAAGGATCAGAATTTCAGCATTGCTTCATTAAATATTTCAGGTCATTTCCATCAATAATTCCGTGAATAAGTTCAATGTTAAGTTCCCACATAAACATACCAAAATTGTATACCGTATAGAGCTAAAATGAGTTGATTAGAATCGATTCTGGAATCGATTCTAAATTCAAAATATTCTGAGTCTCCTGGGTTTAGAACGACTAACTATCGTAATCATCACATGTTCTATCTGAGTCTTAAATTTTTGATGCACATTTCTTATTTATGAGAGTTGGAAGAACTAAAACATAACTGTATATCAAATTCTTTTGAAATTTAGCTCCGTTAAATATTTTTGGCGTATTACTACATACATTAGTTTCTCTGTCTGCCACGTGATCGTCAGCAAATTTAGTTTGATCTTTTTCACTTCGTAATTATAACGGTTTCTGTTTCCTAGTATTATTAAATTTCTTTTACAAGTTATGTAAACTTTCATCATCTGCATTTCCATTATTATTGCATAACCTTTTGTCGTAAATATTATAATAACTAAATTTTGAAATAAATAGTTAGAAAACAATAAATTAAATATAAATCAAGTTAACATTTATTTACCTCATTTAAAACATATTGATATTTAGTGAATTAAAAAAAACCTTCTTACATCATTTGCCAAGTTGCTTTATAAACAATACCACAGTCTTCAAACAATGGTTTCAACTAAAACTGAACCGACCGCAAAACTGACCAATCATTGATCTTTCGCACGTGTTTTCATAACTTTGATTAAATCGCTTGGATTCAAGAGCGGAGTACAAGGATTGTTTAGGGAATCAGCAGAATCATATATATATATATATATCAAGAAGACTACGTGTGGAAACCGCGGAGCGAAAAAAGACAAACCTAAAATTTAAGTGTGAAGTCACGTGACGGACAGAGAAATTCACGGGATCGATCATTTTACACATATTCTTTTGCTGAAAATTAGTAATAATAGATCATAGATGACTTTACTGTATTGTGCACTATACCTTATTTGTACAATCATATACGGTAAATGCACAAAATTCATGATGACGGTATTACTCAAAAGATTTACTCAATATTATTAGCATATCTCGTCTCCCTTTTTACTTTTTCAATTTTCTGTTATTGAAAGATTACACTTATGTTGACAAGATTGTTTTTACCTCATTGTGTACCTAAAAGACTTCTTTGGAAAAACCTTGTGGTAAGTTTTTGTGTCTATTTCTATATTCTTGTTATTTTGATTTGTTTTGAATTATTATTTATTTCATTTTATGTATTAATTGATAGTGGACGCACAAACACAATTATTCAATTTACCCTGAAAATAAAGATATTACTAGGTTTAATATTGATTTAAGAGTATTGGATGATTATCCAACACTCAAAAATGTTGTTATTCGCATGATGTTTGAATTTCAACATAGATTGTGGGAAGAGATGCATGCAAAACAAAAAGAATATTTTGAAAAAAAGGAAGCTGAAAAAATAATTCAAGTAAAAAAGGAAACTGAAAAAATAATACAAGAAAAAAAGGAAACTGAAAAGATAATTCAAGAAAAAAAGGAAACTGAAAAAATAATTCAAGAAAAAAATGAAGATGAAAAAATAATTCAAGAGAAAAAGGAAGCCGAAGAATTAATGCTTCAAGAAAAGAAAAAGATCAAAGAATCTGAATATGAAGCTGATAAATTGAAATTATTAAAAGAAAATGTGGACAAAGTGAATAATCTAAATATTCAAATAGAAAAGTTAGAAAATGAAGTTGAAAAATATAAAAAATATAAGCAACAGTGTATATTAGAGTTTATTCGTGCACAATCATTACAGGTATTTAAATAATTTTAACCTATACTTTGTTATTAAAAAGATTTCTCAGTGTTTTTCTTTTTTTTTTCATAAAAGTCTTCAACTGAGAAAACAAAACCATTGAATAAGATCTTGGAGCAATTATCTCAAGATAAACAATTTACTTTGTTTTTAGAGAAAGTATGCGAGAAAAATGATTTTCAGTATACTGCTGTTCAACGATGTGCAGAAGATTTTCATCAAACTGTCTCAAAATCCTTCCAAACTTATAATCCATGTGTTAAAATAATTGATGCACGAAGTTGGACACCAAATGAAGTTTTATTATTAGGTGCCATCTATCACCATTACAAAATTCCATTTATATATCATGATAATGAAAATAAGTTAGTTAGTTATCCTTATAAATTCTAAATAAAAATTCTTGTAATGTGGCAAAGCTGTAAGGACTAAGAAGTGATTTTATGCTATCATTCTTTAATATTTAATTTATGATATAGCGCATATGCTGCAAATAATTTTTTTATTGCTCCTCAGTCCTCACTTACTAAATGGTTTGTTTGATTATGCTATATTTTTGATAATTTCTTCATCTGACTTATTCACACTTCCAAATAAAATAAAAATCAAAAGTAATTTTATAATATAAATTTCTTTTTGATAAGTGTCATAATCGATATTAAGGTGAAAATGCTTGATTGGTTGGTGTGGGGCTAATATATATATAATATATTAATTATCATCATCATCATGTGATCGATACTGTGGCTGTCGCACAGAACTTAATTTACATTTTTTTTTGATTATCAAGTAAAACATTCCACGTAGTTAATACTTTTATAAAATTTAAATAAACCGGTTTTAATAAAAAAACGTTGAAAATTGAAGTATTTTATTAGTGCATTTTTAAATACAAAAGTGTACTGGGTGTAGACAAACAAAACTTTTGTGTAAATTTATGAAAAATAATGTAAACAATATCGTATTGCCATACTAGCAGAAATGCTCAACGAAAAAATATGAAGGAAAGATCAGAAGATACAAATTCCTTAGATTCTCTAGAAATAGTTGAAGTTATAGACTTTTTTGATTATACTATGTAGCTTCTGAACGTACTGTATATAACACGAGTGGAAAATGAAGAAGGTACCAGATTTTTTGGTTGAAACGTTGAAGGGGCAGACGATTTTTCGTGGTTGTATATATATATATTTTCTATAATATTCTTCTAATTTGAACTTTATATTTTAAATGTTATTGTCCATCTTATTTAGGAAGAAATATGTTTTGTTCGCAGAAGCATGATTTAGCAGCCAAACAAAAAAACATTAAGATGTTTCAAAACATCGTGATGCAAAAGCTTTAATTGCAATGGGATTATTAAAATTTCCATTGATATTATTGTATTAAGGTTAGGATTAGTGCATGTGTTATTATCACGTTAGGGTCAGTACGCAGTGCTATTATTGCATTAGGATTAGGGTCAGTGCGTGGCATTATTATTGCGTTAGGGTTAGGGTTTAGGATATTTAGTTTATGGAATAGGTAAAAGTATATAAATTGGGAAGTTTGGGCGATGTAAATTTATTATATATTTATGTATTAAAAATATTGGCAAAATTAATAAAATTTATAGATTTACATTTACATTAAATTTACATTGTGGCAGGTAGGCCATTAAATAATCTGGGTCTTTTTTAATCTGAAGATAAAATTTATGGGTTGTTTAAAGATTTATAGTTATTGTGACACTGCAACATTTTTTTAAGATATTGAAAAATCAATTTATATTATAACTTATACTTCATAAGTCATAATAAAATATAATAGAATTTGACATAAATTAAAGATGAAATTACATTTATAAATTGCTAATCATCATTTAGAAAGTATTGAAGAAATAAATCAGAATTGTTTAACATATTCTCCAAGAATTTCGGACTATCTCCAAAAATGGAAATGATCGACATAGCCGTGAATTATAATTCAGGCCAGGATTATAAATTCGCCTGAATACTGCTGATCAATAGTAATTCATGTATTATCTGATGGATGAACGGATTATTCGCGGATTAAAACACTATCAGAATACAAAATGATGGAAATACGAGGAATTTGTGGAAATAAAAAATAATTACCCAAGTATGTGGGTAAGAACGTATAATTGGAACTCATCGTTTGTTCTAAACGTGGGACAACACTCGCTACATTACACGACAAAATATATAGCAAAGTCAAATGAAATTTTAATTATTTGTAACCAATATAATTAATAAATCTTTATATTGTTTTAATATTATGTTAATTAATTTATAGATTCAGAATGTTTTGATTGTCAATTAGATGAATTAGGTAAAGATATTTATTCTTTAGTTCTTTATTTTTTTAACTTATTATTAATTTGCAGATCTTAATGAAATTAATCACTTAATTTTGATTGTATAAATTTATTTTTACATTTGCTCTTAATAAAGTGAATATGTCAAAAAAAAATAAAAAATATTTGACAAAATTACAGGATCATTTCTATTAAAGATAATTTAAATTATATTTCAGTTTTTCTAAAACCATAAATAATAACTAGTATAAAAATAATTTATAAGTTTAATAATTAAACTAAATTCTTTGATTCTTATAAAAAAAATCATTCAATATTATTTTCTTCATCTGAAATACATAGCAGTATACTTAATATAGAAGTAATAAATTACTCTACGATCATACTCCATAACTAACTCCGTTCCTAAGTACGGAAAAAGAAACCTTATCAAAAGAATAATAAGCTCATTTTATATCTACTAAACCCTAAAAATCAAAGAAAAACTCTAATATCCTATAATAAAATTAAAACTAAAATAAACAGACAAAATACAACAAATTTCATTTGGACAAATTTTTTTACGTTAAATCACGTGACTTAAAACTGTTGTAAAGTTATCTCTTAACTATTAAAAGAAAAAGATTGTAGATTGTGACGTTAACCGTAAAGGTTTATCATTACAAAATGGAAATTTAATTTTTAATAATGAGTTTGCTATCGATCGAAATATTTGTCGAACTTTATCAAAACCATTACAATATAGACAACTTGAAATTCATTTGTCGCATAATTCTTTACAACTTATCAAAGATTTCAGGAATTTACTAAATTCTGGATGACATATAATTCTTTTGATCGCCTACATCCAAACAACATACCAAATTCACCAGTTGGAAATTTAAGGCGTCTACTCAACAACTTCCTACATTAGATATTATGAACAGAAATTTTCCGGATATTATGAATGGTCTAACGACATGTTTCCTATGTAATGAGGAGACGGAATCTAATAATCATATATGGCAATGTAGCAAATATTGAAACCGATCTTTGACAATCATGCTATAAAATTACATGCAATCCTTACGGAACATGCTGATTCACCACCTTTGTAAATGGCAAGATTTTATTCGTTTCTGCCAACTTTTTTCATGGACACGCGACCAACAAACCAATGTTACGCATCATCGAATTTTGTTCATATTTTTACTTAACTACATGCCTCAAGAATTATTGGTACCCTTTCAAGAGGCTATTGAATTTTGTCCACGACTTACATGTTGATATATATACTACTATTTGGAAACTTAGATGTTCATATTTCAAAGAATGGAAAGCTCGTAATAATATTATGCGAAAAAGTTTCACCTCTTACCGACGACATAATAAATCTGGTTCTTGAAAGATTATAAATACCCGTTCTCTCCGCGCTGTTCGTACATCATGTCAATATCGGTGTCCGTATGATGACGATCGACGTGCACGTGACAATAAAGTCATGTGGATTTATCTAATTTTTTGCATACCTTGGTTTCACTTTTTAGATTTTTCTTTTGGTTCGGATTTGGTTACTAGTGCGTTTAATTTTTCTTCTCTTCGTGCTCCCCCTATTTTTACTTTTGTTTCTAATTCCCTTTGTTCGTTCACTGCTATGGCGACTAGTTTTCCATTAGTCAGTTCGTTCTAACGAAGGGTGGGTCCGCCGGTTGGATTTTGTACATTTAGTTTTAGATCAATAGTGCATATGACTTTTTTGTAAAATTTCAATGTATCTTCGTATCTCACAAATGTATCTACCTTTCTAAAGTAAAAATAAAAATAGAATAAAATAAAAAAGAATGTAGACCAGAACTCAACTAACATAAAATTAAACTACAAACTAAACTAAAAATAACAATCAATCCTAAATTTAATGATTTTGCAAATATTTTATTATGACTTTATTGTGAAATTCATCTGACCTGGATGATCGACACAACCGTATATATGAAATATTATTTATGATTTTAATATTTATATATTTACAAATTCATTACAAATTATTGTTACATTGTTACAAAAAAAATCTTTTTTTTTTATCTTAAAAAATTCCATTGTAGTATTAAAAAAAATTACATTCTCTGTTGAAAAAAAATATACATATTTATTGTTACCATATCTCAAAGAAATTCATTACAGCAATTTATTGTTATAGAAAAAAAAATATCCCACTAATTAATATGAAAAGAAAAATTCCCAGAAAAACTAATTATAAGGATCTATTGTCATGAAAAAAAAAGTTTCCCAGAAATATTAATTAGATCTATTGTTACAAAAAATAAATAAATAAGTCTATTATTGAGCTGGGAAAAACTTAAATGGTGAATGTATTTGGAAAAAAAAATTCGGTTGGAAAAAAAAAGCCAAACCGAAAAAGGAAAAGGGATAAAAAATTTTGATTGGAGAAGGAAAAAAACGAAAAAAAAATTGAAAAAGAACCGAAAAGGAAAAAGAAAGAAAAAATAAAAAAAAAAAATTGAAAAAATTCGAAAAAAAAGAAAAAATTTGGGGAACAGAAAAAGGATAAAGAAAGAAATCGGGAAATTTTCGAAAAAAAGGAATCCGAAAAAAATAAGTACCGAAAAAAAAGACAATAATTCAATCCAAAATGACCGAAAAAAAAAATCCAAAAGAAAACAATACAGTCCTAAAACCTAAACGGGAAAAAGAATGAGAAAAAACAAATTTTTCGGTTTGAAAAAAAATTAAAAAATTTAAAATTTAATGGTTTTAATTATATGGCATGTGATTTCAAGTTACACAATTCAAATTATTTATACGGCTGTCTCTTATACACATCTAGATGTGTATAAGAGACAGAATTAGATCTATTGTTACAAAAAATAAATAAATAAGTCTATTATTGAGCTGGGAAAAACTTAAATGGTGAATGTATTTGGAAAAAAAAATTCGGTTGGAAAAAAAAAGCCAAACCGAAAAAGGAAAAGGGATAAAAAATTTTGATTGGAGAAAAGTCAACCGGAAAAAAACAGAAAAAAAAAATAAAAATAAAAATTTGTTTTTTATTTTCCAAATAAATAGATGATTTTAATTGGTTTCAATTTTTTTAAAAAAAATATTTTATTTTTCAGTTTCTTAAAAGTTGAATTTTTTTTTTTTATTATTTATTCATTTTTTATTTACTACTCAATTTATTTTTTTTCATTTTTCATAACACTAATATATCTAATTTACCTAAATATTGATTTGTTATATTTAATTTAAATTGCATTAAACCTGTTGCAATGCAACAAGTTACAGCTAGTTATTAGGCTGAAAATTATTTTTATTTCAATCCAATTGTTTATTGAAAATTTCCTTTTTTCTTTTATGTTTGATCAATAGCGTAACAAAGTATTTTATTTCTATCAATCAGAAGTTTTGTATTCAAAATTTGAATGTTACACATGCTGCACAGGGGCTTATTTGTTGAATAAATTTACGTAATTTTAAAAAAATTTGTTTTTTACGTTTCATTTTATTATATGGTTAACATTTATCTTTGATTTTACTGAGTAAATTGTAATCTACATATATACAATCCAAATTAATTTAGTGTGGAAATATCAAAAATGAATCCTAAAGAAAATAAAAGAGATTTATGGAAAGAAGTTGATGGAAATGAATATCAGGTAATTCATTTTATCATTTAATAATATAATATTATTGAATTTTTAATTTGAATAATAATGTTTTTCTTAAATCATTTATTTCAAAAGGTACATGTTACAATTTCTACTATTGGTTCAACTACCGAATCAGCAGAAGAGATAGATGATAGAATAGTTTATATGGAAGATTTAGAAAAAAGAAAACAAATATATGGAATATGTGGGGAATGTAATGAACCTGGCACAGGAAAAAGATGGTGTCAACCTTGTAATGCTAAAAGATTTAAGGATAACTTTAAAAATTGGACTAGTGGAAATAAAGATATTGATGAATTTATACAACAATCACAACTTAATGCTGTGTATTTTAAAAAATATCTTGAATGGATACCTTTTGAAAAATTTAAAGATATTACTTATATTACCAGAGGTGGATTTGGTAAAATTTATTCAGCAAAATGGCCTGAAGGATATATTGAATCTTGGGATATTAAAAATCAAAAATGGGAAAGATGTAGCATAAAAGTTGCACTAAAAAGTTTGGACAATTCTTCTTGTATGTGTACAGAATTTTTAAATGAGGTAATTAAAATAAGAAATGTAGTCTATTTACTTTTATTTTTATTTGTGTATTACTTATATATTATTAAAAATTTTTGCTTTCAATATTTTCAATAGATTAAATCTCATCTTCAGGTTTATCTTCTTGATGTTATTCGATGTTATGGAATAACTCAAGATCCAAATACCAAGGATTATATGATGATTTTAACATATTGTAAAGATGGAAATTTGAGAAATTACTATCTCAATAATAAATCAAGTTATTATTCAAAAATTGATAAATTACGACAAATTGCAAGAGGACTTCTAGATATTCATAATGCTGGAAAAGTTCATAAAGATTTTCATTCAGGCAATATATTACATAATGTTTCATATCCACTTATAAGTGATTTAGGAATGTGCCAACCAGCAAATAATGAAAAGCAATCAGTTAAACAAGAAGGAATTTATGGAGTATTACCTTATATGGCACCAGAAGTTTTACGTGGATATCAATATACAAAGGCATCTGATATTTATTCATTTGGAATAATGATGAATGAATATATATATGAAGAAACTCCTTATAATAATATTCCTCATAATCATGCTTTATCTATTAAAATATGTAAAGGACTTAGGCCAAATAGTTTTAAATATACACCAAAATTACTTGCAGATTTGATTACTAAATGTTGGGATGCTAAAGCAGAAAATAGACCAACTGCTAAAGAATTGTATCAAAAATTAAATAAATTATTAATTATAGATAATGATACTAAATCTCAAGTAGATGAATATAATGATAAAATCAAATTAAACAGAACAAGTGAAAAAAGATCTAGCAACATTCAAACACATCCACAAGCAATCTATACTAGTAGACTTTTAAATTTCAAAAATCTTCCAGAACCAGTAAATTCAGGTAATCTAATTTAACTTTACTTTGGTAACCAAAAAAATGTTTAAATTACTAATAACTTTATTATTTACTAATAGATGCTACTAAAACAACATTACGTAAGTAATTATTTGTAACCAATATAATTAATAAATAAATCTTTATATTGTTGTTTTAATATTATGTTAATTTATTTATAGGTTCAGAATGTTTTGATTGTCAATTAGACGAATTAGGTAAAGATATTTATTCTTTAGTTCTTTATTTTGTTAATACTTATTAATTTAGTACTTACTATTTTGTAGATCTTAACGAAAGTGATCAAGAAGAAGAAAATAATATTTAATGATTTTTTTTTTTTATAAGAATCAAAGAATTTAGTTTTATTAAAATTATATTATTAAATTATTTTTTTTTATATAGTTATTGTTTATGGGTTTTGTATGTAATATTTTGGTTTAATAAAAATAAATTAAAAATTGGTTATCAAAATGAAACAAATTAAAACAATAAGAAAGATAAAGGATCAAATAAATAAAAAGGATCAAATGATAAAATTGAATCAACAAAAAAGGAAACTAAATGAAAGTACAACTGAAATAGAAATTCAAGGACAAAGTATAAAACGAAATGTAAGATGAAAGCCTAGTAAGTGATAATAAGCGATTCGACCCTAATCAATATATTGATTGTTTAATGTCATCTTATTTTTATTACCTTCTTCGGAAATGTTAGCAACCGCCATTCACCATATTATCGCAAAACTAAAAATCCTAGTCTCTTTCAACAAATCAAAGCACACTCAGGTGATACTTACAATGATATTGCAGATGCTCAGGTAAAAGCAGGTCGTTTTATATCCCCATTGACGATGATCAAACACGATCATCACCTACCCAATCAAACCGACAAAGATATACGTAAATGCATTAGCGCTATAACGTTAGAAAATCATCTTAATCACTATAGTCTCTCGGATATTAAACAATACACAACCGACAAACTCATTGAATGGTCTTTATCGAGCAAATGGTTTAACCACAACTCCAGATCTGTCGGCACAAGTGCTGCCACACCAAAGATACTGGATGGAAAATCCAAACTTCAAATAATACGTTACTTACGCTAGATATTCTTAACAGAAACTTCCCGAAATTAATAGATAACCGTATTAATTGTCTCCTTTGTGGACTAGAACCAGAACAAATCAACATATATGGCGTTGTCCTGCTTTATCTGACTAAATTCGTTTGATCTTCCGCAATTTGGCGCAAAATTAACGATTTTGTTACAACAAGAGGGTGACAAACTACTCATATGTATTCATGATACAATCAAATACTTAACAACCTTTAATTGGGCCTTCACGAACAAAGCCATTATATTTGGAAACATCGCTCCATCAAATGGAAACAATGGAAACAACATCATAATCTATCCAAGAACGATTTTGTTCGTTAGCACAAAACTCACGACTCTCGCATGGTCCTTCCTAATATGGATACATCAACCGCAGCACCAAAAAATACTTTCACTTCACAACGAACATTTAATTACGAATAATCCTCAATATGATTTTAGGAATTATAAATTTGCTTTTTATTTTATTTTCGTCATCTAATTTTTTACATAGTGACTCCTTTTATCGCCAAATAAATAGATGTGTCTTCCCGCAAGGAATATTTCACAAATAGATTATCGTCACGTTCCATTTTATGTTTAGTACCTACCGCTTATACTGACAGCATAGTTTATTTAGACTAGGTTCGCCGCCCACTTTTTCTAACCTTTTCTTTATAGATAGTTTATATATTTCAAATCTCAAGTTCTTATTGGCTGTCCCTTATCGGTCGGGATAAGGGATGGGTGGGCTTTTATAGAGTATAAATGAGGGTTCGTCCTTGGGAAAGGATGGGCGAAGAGTTTCAATTCGTGTCATTATTCTTTTGATTGTATAGGACTTTTTTATTGTTTACTCTCCTGCTTTTACATAAAATAAGTATTAGTTATTTACTAATCTAGTAGTATATAAATGGGTTATCATCCGAAGGATGATGACCCATTTATATACTAAACTAGATCAGTAAATAACTTTTTTATCATCCTGGATATACTAATTGATCCGCCAGTTTATAACTGGCGGAAAAAATCCTAAATACCAATTAGTAGCCAGGTGATAATGAATTTTATACTATATTAACATTAATATTCTCACAAGATATTACATTCATATCCATAACACAATGTTATTGGGAATAGTATTGAAGCATGTTTAATAATATTTGTAATGTTATAAGAACAAACTATTTAGAAAAAAATCAACAATTATAATATTGACAATAAAATACGCAATTTATTATAGCGAAAGTAAATAAAATATTAAAATGTATTACCTTAATAGTTTATTTATTATAATTAAATAATTAAGTTAAAACTAGTACATAAAATACATTTTTTTTGCCGAAGAAGAAATACATACGATTATACAAATCGTTTCACGTCGAAATAAAAAATTATTTAACACAAAAAGATTTTTTTTTTAATTAAATATTTTCAAATTTAATTGTATAAATTACTTATAATTTGCTACATCTCTATTGCTATTGTTCAAGAGATTCGAGTCTATAAGAAAAAAAGAATGAACCGTTAGCGATAATAACCTTTTCATTAAAAAGTAATTTAAAGAAAACCAGCTCACCTAAATCTGCGTGATGTGTTTTTTATTCTAGAATAACGTAATTTAGTTAATACATCTATACTTTCATAGCTAGATGGTTTTTTTTAAATAATAACTAGAGTCATACCCTAGGGCCGGTGACCGGTCCTTACTAAGAGTATGATAAATACCATAAATTTTAACACTTATTTGCAGAAACAAAAGTATTGGTAAGATATAATTTAATTTCGTTTGAAATAAATAAATAATTTATTTTATTTTTTTTTTCATCTAAAATAATTTTAATTTATTGTTTTTTACGTTTCGATTTAATAATCTTGTAATTTGCCTTAAAAGAAGAATTTTTTTTGAAATTTTATAAAAAACTTTTTTAAAAAATTTTTTTTCGTTTATAAAATTTATTTCACATGATTAAAAACTTATTAATATTGCAAATCAAATTTGGAGGATCCTATGTCTACATATGTTTTTAATACAGTAAATCAATTCGTGTAATATGTGTAATATATAATTTTTTTTTTAATAAAATCAAATATATTTTAATAAGTAAATTCATATAATTTTATAATTTTTTTTTTAATAATTAAATTCACATAATGTTTTAGTTTGTACTATGTTTTTTAATTATAATTTGGTTTTACTAATAAATATTTTTTTAATAAATAAATTTAATAAATTCAGGTATATATATTTTTTTAATAAAATAAAATTTGGAGATATATATATATTTTTTAATAAAATTCAGATACTGTATATATTTTTTTTTAATAAAATTCGGATATATACTATATATATTTTTTTATATATTTTTTGATCGGGTTCATTTAAGAACGTTTAAATTATTTCAGCCGCTTTTATATATTTAACTTCCTTCAATTCCCTATTATAATTAATCACAAAAATTAGCCTCCTGAACAATGTATAATAATAAATATTTCCTTGATATTAATATATGGTTAACTCTCAAATTTTTGACCAGCTAATTCATAATTCCTTGATGTTAATATATGGTTAGCTCTCAGATTTTTGATCAACCAATTCGGATTATAGTGCGAATATAATAATTACCGATCATCCGGATCATGTTTGCAACCCGCAACAAATCCGGCTACCATTCTTTTTTTATGGTAATGGGATCGTTAATTTTTACCCTAATAACCCATGATAAATCCAAAACTTTCACAGTTACTGAACCTCCTGCAATTATTACAGATCTCATAACTGTATCCTCTCGGCTTATGCTGACTAGCACGTTTCTCAAAATCTTTTAGGAGATTCATAACGAACTAAACTCTGGTCTGACTTTGAAAATCAAACCATATATAGTTTTGCTAAATCATCATTAATTGAATCTTGAATATCCTTCTTGTTGGGGAGGGAAATTTTCTTGTCCACTGTTCTTCATCAGATTCGTCTTTTAGGTTAATCTCAATATTTAGTTTAGTAGCTCCTTCAGTAATAGGATCACCACCTTTGACATTATCAACCATTTTTTTATCTTAATAAAGTCCTGTTACGTGACATACTGAGAATTTCTAAGTGCAATTGAACAACTGATAAAGCATATAACTGAGCTTCTAGAAATGTATAAGCATAATACCATATTTCCTCGTAATTTTACTTTTTTAACTGGTTTGTTTTATAAGCAATTTTGCAAGCTGCTCGATACTCCCTAGTAATATTCCATATTTCATGCTTAAAACTTCAATTATTCAGAAGAAAATTTCTCAATTTCATCTACATTTAACATATCCCGCCCTTTAGCAGCAATACGATAATCGATCGCAATATTCCAAAGATCGTTTACTCTTTTTTCATCTAACTTATTCAAAATGCCTTCTTTAAACCTTGGGGAAAAAATAGTTCGGCGCCTAGGTTTTGATGTTTTTCTTGAAGCCAATTTGGATTAAGTCGATTCGTTTTATCAGAATAGAAGTATAATGCGATGTCTCGGAACCGTTTATTAGTTTCGTCTTCCGTAGATAATGTGTTGCTAAATAAGATTCTTTTTAATTTTATTTGAATAAGCTACTTTACCGGCCAATAATTTCAAAATATTTAAAGAAGAAATCAATTGTTATGTATCTTTGACGTTAATTTTTGAAGTTTCTTCCGATTGTTCGAGATTTATTTCAGCATTTAAACTCTACAAGTGCTTAACTATATATTGAAAATATTAAAGTTCTTGGAAAGCTTTAAGTTTAGTGAAGAAAAGAAATTGACAGATATTAAAATAAAGAAATTAAAATTTTTGCTCAAATCTCAGACTGATCAGTTTTATTATTCTGGAGGTTTTTTTTGGGTGAAAGTTTTTCGAAGGTTAGAGGTTTGACAGCTTAGCAACGTTAATTCACGAATAATGTATTCCATAGGCATAACTTTCAATTTTGGAATTTCACATTTATGAATAGAGAAATGGATAAGCTTGTAAATTTAATTTATTACGCCATTTTTTATACTGTTATCGATGATTTGATTACTTTAAAGGTATTTAAATTATAAAAATGCCCAATTTCTAATTTACATAAATATTTATACGTATATGGAATTATTTTCACATATTGATTTTTCACCAATACAGTTATTTATAACCAGAACGATATTAAAAAAGAAAAATAAATTCGTAATTTCTTCTGTTCCTTCTCAATTTTTATAAACATATGCTAAATTAAACATTGCTACTTCATTACCATTTTCTGCTGCTTTTTTGATACAAATAAAAGGCTTTTCTAAATCTTTTCCTGTCCCTTTTCCATGTTCATGCCAAATGGTTAAACTATTCATTGTTTAAACATCTGTACATCTATTTCTTCATCACCGTTTTCTGCTGCTTATTAAATAGCATACGCTTAAAAGCTTTTTTAAGAACAAATTTATATTTTTGTTATGCCATTGAATGGATTGAAATTACCTAATCGTGATTAAATGACTGATATCTATAATCAGTAATACTGATAATCGACATTTCCTCATAAGAAGAAAAGAATTTAACAAAATAAGCCACACAATTTTGGCATCACAAGAGGTATTCCAATAAAGTTCATGATACCTTGTTGAGGATAATATCTAGTTAAACATTGAAAATTTCAACTTTTTTCTCGAAAGATTCTACCAACTTGTTTATAGGATTATTATCCGAAGCATCCAGCTCTTCTATATATTGATGGCCTAATTCTAAAATATTATGAATATTTTCCTCTTCGTAATTACCAAATTCTACTGGTTCTTCAAACCAGACCTGCCATCGTTGATAACGATTGTCCAGTAAACTGTACATTAGACGATCAGTATTATTTTCCTGTTGAGGTAGCACAACTTTGTGAAGATAATGTGTCAAGAAAAGATTACCACGATATTGGCTAGGGTTTAATGAATCTGGGATGTAACTTCCTGTACCAAGCGAAAGCACCGAAATCTTTTCTTTTTCTGCATTATATTGGATAGCTTTCTCATAAGCTGCCATTGTTGAGTTATTGAGATGTAAAGTACCATCTAAAAAAAAACTCCTGCCTTCCATTTCGTAAGATGGGAATAAAGTGGGTGCAACTGTTGTTGCCATTAAAGTATCAACAAAAGTATCGTTTTTTAAATAATTGCGACGATCGTCATTTCGTGTATATAAATGTGTCTGTGTTAAGTCATTAACATCCACTGTAGGGATAACCAACTCAGTGAGCGCTTTACCTAGGCGAACTCTTCCAAAGTATTCCGAAAAAAATGATCTGCAGTCTTGGTTTTCGTGTTTTGGCTTGAATAATGACCATGAATTATCAGGGATAGTGATTAAATTTCTTGCTTGGTTCTGAAAAAGATTTAATATATCTGAAGCCGAAGACTTTGGTTTTGAATCTGAACATTTATAATATGGAGAGTCATAAAGTTCACACCAGGATGGTACTGATAGTCCGGCAGCAATGAAACCTCCAGTTGATGTTCCAGCTATCATATTAAACAGATGAGAAATGGGTCTATGGGTGCGATATTCGATCTCACTAAGCCATAAAGCAGGTAATATTCCACCTATACCTCCTCCATCAATTGAAAGAATGTTATATGTAGAACTTTCTTTACTATGGGAATTTTCTAAATAATCTATTTCATATTTAATTTTCTTTTTTCCTTTTTCGTAACGGTTAATCCGCCATTTAATCGTATTTTCTTCACTTAGTTTTTTGAGAAATAACCTCTGCTCATCAGCCAATTTGTTTTTATGATCTAGTCTCAATGCCTCAATAATATTTCCTTTAGCTTCGCTATAATTAATTTGTTTACAATAAGCAATACTGCGAAATCGCCAATATTCTGATGAAGAGGTCAAATTTGGATTCGTATCTATAAGTCGAATAACTTGAGTATATTTGGATAATTTTAGTGAACATTTCGTAATACCAAGTGCGGCCTCTAGATTTTTTGGATCTATTTCACGTGCTTTCTCATAGTTCTTTTGAGCAACTTTCCAATAATACAAGCTTTTCAATCGGTTTAGTCGATTAATTTTATCTTCTTTCTCAGCTAATTGTTCATGGATTGCTGCTAGTGTATTATAAAGGAGCATTTTATTCTGACTTGAAAGCTCTTGTTTTAGTTGTTCATTTAGATAACTAATAAATTCACCGTCTAATTTGGGCGATTCTTCAGATGATTCTTTGGGTGATTCTTTAAATGATTCTTCAGATGGAGATTCCTCACCATTAATAATCCATAATAAATCTTCTAATACTTCATGACGAGCACCACTAACAAATTGATAATTACTACCAATTGAATCTTGAATTTCCTTAATAGTTTTGATAGCTCGCTCGATTTCTTCTTTACCAGCAACTAATATATCGGAAATTGCTCGATTGATTTTTGTGACATTGCGTATTTCTTCCAACCTTGATTGAAAAGGCATTTCTTGGGAATGATCCTTATCTTCTTGGGTTATGATAGGATCTTTAAATTTATCAAAAATACTAGGTGGATTGAGTTTCATGCGTAACTCATAAATATGATCATCTAGAGTCTTGGCCTCCTTTTCAAGTTTTTCACTCAATACTCCATTAAAAACATTCATTGCTAACTTCTTCAAGTCTGTTGTTATCATTGCTTTGATTTTTGTTTTTTCACTACTTAAGACCTCGCCAAGCAAATTTAATAGATAAGCAATACCATCAAATCTAAATCCATGCTTTAAGAGTGTTTCTATTATATGATCAGTATTAATGAAATCTTCACGTTTTACTAATTTTAAAAGACTATCATTCGTCTTCTTATTATATTCCTCAGAAAGTACATTAATAACTTCCTGATATTCACCTTTATCATAAGCTTCTATCGTTTTTGTCATGATTTTATTAAGATTTTCACGAATTTCTTGCTCTTCTTTACCATGACTCTTGGTGTGTAAATTTACTTGATAACGAACCAATTTTCGGTCTGCCCTGAGCATACTTATTTTTATAACTTCGTTATTAATTGAATTTTGATTAGCTTTTTTCTCAAAAAGTGAAATCTTCTGATCCACCGTTTTTATATTATCGAATTTGCTCTTTAGTTTAATCTCAGAATCTAATTTTTCAGTAATCACTGTAACATCCACCATTCCATCTTTAACTTTTTCAAATATTTTGTTTGCCTCAAAAAAATCCTGTTGCGTGACGTTTTGAGAATTCATGAGATGCAATAGAATTGCTGATAAAGCACATAACTGAGCTTCTATAAATTTGTTAGAAATGCATAAGCATAATGCCATATTTCCTCGTAATCTTACCTGTTTTTTTAGTTGCTCAGCTTTATCAGCAATTTTGCAAGCTGATCGATATTCTTGGTAGGCTAACATTCCATTATCTATGCAAAAAATCTTTAATTCTTCAGAAGAAAATTCCTTAATTTTATCTCTATGCAACACTCTCAACTTATTCCATTGACCTTCAGCTGCATTACGATAATCGATCGCAATTTTCCAAAAATCATTTGCTTTTTTTTCTTGAACATTTGGTGAGATTCCTTCCAAGTCATCTAATAAACTTTTTTTAATCTCTAGAGCAAAATTAAAAAGTTCGTCACCTAGATTTTTATGTTTTACTTGAAGCCAAGTTGGAGTATTAGGTCGATTCGTTTTATCAGAATGGAGATATAAAGCTATGTCTCTAAACCGTTTATTAATTTCTTCTTCTGTAAAGAGAGTATTGCTAAATAAAATTTCTTTTTTGTTTGGAGAATTCAAGACATGATATATAAAAGCCAATCTTTTTGAATAAGCTGCTTTACTAGCTAATGATTTTAATTCATTTAAAGAAGAAGTCATTCGTTGTTTATTTTCTTTATTAATTTTTGATTTTTGATCCTTGCTAGTATCTTTAGTGTGAGAATTTTCCAAATAAATTAGCGACTCATTAATTGGGTTATCTGCTATCTTACGTAAAATTATCTCATATGCAACGATATTCTTATAATCTTCAAAAGATTTGGGTAAGTTATTAAACTGTTGAAAAGTATTTCGAAAAAATTCAATAACGTTATCATCTAAAATATCTTTAACCCCCCTTAATTCTTTCTCTACAGCTTCATGAATATTCTCTTCCTCTTGATTAGAAGCTTGATAGATATTTCCTAGTGCAACATCCACAAATAATCTTGGCTCTGTCCTGTAGGTATCTATTCTCTCAGGCTTTTCAGAAAAATTTTCAAATTTCTTTGCTAATTTTTCCTGCTTGCTAGCTCTGTCTCCTTCCCCACTAAATTCTAAATAATTAGCATATGTTATGTGATATTTATACCTAAAAAGTCCATGTCGTTCTTCATCATCTTCTTCTAATTTATCAATTAAATTTTTTCCTTCTTTAAATTTTTGTTCAATCTCAGATTGGTTTAGAGTTTTGTTTCGAAGTTTAATTAAGTTTTCTATCTCTAAAAAAAAATTCTCAATTTGATTTATTTTTTCTAACATTACGGATCTCTTCTAAAATTGTTTTACTCTTCCTTATATTAAAATGTCCTATAAATTTTTTTTTTAAAAAAAAAAACTTTGCGGGGCTTTTTAAAGAACTTTTTGCGATCGCCATTGCATATACTAAATTTGATTAAATGCGAATTTTTCAAAAATTATGACGAATCATATACATATTTATAATATATTTATAATAAAAACGTCTATTCCTTATTTTATATAAATAAAAGTACTGGTTTAAAGCCGTCAAATTTTTCATTTATTTTAATTTATTAATCCAATTAAGAAATTTCGATACAAAATTTTTAAGTGCTGAATAAATTGCTTCATTTAAGAATATTATTTTATTTTAATACGAGTTTGTAAATGTTGGCAATATACTTTTTAATATCACAATAGGCAGTTTGAAAAATAAATAGCAAAAAAGAACAGTCAAAATCTTGATGTACAGTACATATGAAAATATCTCAATTACAAATAACGACTCTAGTAAGAATTCCATAAAACTTTGTTGGCAAATCATTTCTCAAAAGACTCTACCAACTTGTTTATAGGATTATCATCCGAAGAATCAAGCTCTTCTATATATTGATGACCCAGCTCTAAGAGATAAGAGGTACTTTTGCAGTCATCCAATTCTATTGGTTCTTCAAGCCAAACTTGCCATCGTTGATGGCGATTTCCCAATAAACTGTACATTAGGCTATCAATATTACCTTCATGTTGAGGTAGTACTATTTTGTGTAGATTTCGTGCCCAAAAAAGACTATCACGATATAGGTCAGGATTTAAAGGATCTGGGACATAACTTCCCGTACCAAGAGATAGCACTGAAATCTTTTCTTTTGGCGCATTATATCGGATAGCTTCCTCATATGCTGCTATCGTTGGGTTATTAAGATGCAAAGCTTCGCCTGAAAATAAACCTCTTCCCTTTATCTCGTAAGGTGGAAAAAGGGTAGGTGCAGCTGTTGTTGCCATTAAAGTATCAAAAAAAGTATCGTCTTTTGAATCATCACTGCGATCATCATAACGCGTAAAGAAATGTGTCTGTGTTAAGTTACTAGTAGTTACATCCACTGCAGGAATAACCAATTCAGTAAGAGCTTGATTCAAGCGTACTCTACCAAAATGTTCAGAAAACAACGAACTGCGATCTTGTTCTGTATGTTTTGGTTTAAAAAATGACTGTGAATTATTATTATTTGTGGTGATAAACAAGTTTTTTGCTTGATTCTGATAAATATCTAACAAATCTGAAGCCGAAAACTTTGGTTTATCTGAACATTCATAATATGGATTTTTCTTTGAATCAAGGTGTATCTCCCAGAATGGTACCGATAGTCCAGCAGCAATAATCCCTCCAGCCGATATTCCAGTTATCATATTAAATAGATGAGAAATAGGTCTATGGGTACGATATTCTATTTCACTAAGCCATAAGGCAGGTAATATTCCACATACACCCCCTCCATCAATTGAAAGAATATTATAAGTAGGACTCTCTTTACTATGGGAACTTTTAAAATAATCTACGTCATCGATATCGTTTTTTTCTTTTTTGTAACGGTTAATACGCCATTCAATTATATTTTTTTCACTTAGTTTTTTGAGAAGTAATCTCTGTTTATCTGCTAACTTGTTTTTATTATCCAAATTCAATGCTTCAATAATATTCTCCTTAGCATTCTTATAATCAGCCTTCTTTTGATAAGCAATACTACGAAAGTACCAATATTCTGATAAAGAGGTTAAGTTTGGACACACATTTAAAAGTTGAATAACTTGAGTATATTTAGATAATTTTAGTAAACATTTTGCAAAACCAAGTGCAGCATCTAAATTCTCTGGATCTTTTTCACGTGCTTCCTCATAGTTCTTTTGGGCAGATCTCCAATAACACAAACCATTTAATCGATTATTATCTTCTTTCTCAGCTAATTGTACATAGCATGTTGCTATTGCATTGAAAAGACGAAACCTTTCTTGGGTTGAAGATGCCTGCTTTAGTTGTTGATTTAGATAATTGATGTATTTATCATCTATGTAAGTGATTAGAGATAATTTAGGTGATTCTTCGGATGATTCTTCGGATGATTCTGTAGGTGATTCTTCACCATTAATAACCCATAATAAATCCTCCAAAACTTCGTAACGCCATTTAGCAGAATTAACAAACTGATAATTATTGTCGATTGAATTTTGAACTTCCTTAATAGTTTCGATTGCTCGTTTAATTTCTTCTTTACCGGCATCTAATATATCAAAAATTGCTCGATTAATCCTTGTGATATTACGCATCTCTTCCAGTCTTGATATAAAAGGCATTTCTTCAGCATCATCTTTGTATTCTTTAGCCATATCACTATATTCTTTAAGTAAAACAGAATCTTTAAATTTATTAAAAGTGCTAACAATATGGCCCTTTCGTAATTCACGAATACGGCCGTCCAGTTTCTTAGCATCGTCTACTAGTTTTTCACTTAGCGCACCATTAAAAACACTCGTTGCTAATGCTTTTAAGTCTTTTTTTGTCATTCCATTAAGTTCTACTTTCCCACTACTTAAAACCTCACCAAGCAAATTTAATAGATAAGCAATACCATCAGATCTAAAGCCATAGTATAAGAGTGTTTCTATTATATGATCAGTATTAATGAAATCTTCACGTTTTGTTAATTTTAAAAGACTATCCTTCGTCTTCTTATTATATTCTTCGGAAAGTGCTTTAATAACCTCCTGATATTCCCCTTTATTATAAGCTCCTATTGTTTCGATCATGATTTTATTAAGATTTTCACGAATTTCTGGAACTTCTCTGAGACGATTCCCTCTTTTCCATAAGGTCACACCGGCCCATATACCTAAACCAAGAGCAAGTAGTCCACTGACGAGTGCAAATGGACCACCAACTGACGTAACTCCTATTATAGCTACTGCTTCATAAATATGAAGACCAGCAGTTACTGATATTGTCGTTCCCACGGCCATTGCACCTCCCATGGCTGCACCCCCTACAATTTTATGCTTCACAACACGTTCCTTGGCGTGCAAAATCACCTCTGCTGGTACTTGATAACGAACTAAACTCTGGTCTGCCTTGAGCATTAGCCCAACACTTATATTTGCCATATCGTTGTTAATTGATTCTTGAATAGTCTTTCTCTCAAAAAAGGAAATTCCCTGATCCACCGTTCTTACTAAAGCCATTGTATTATCAGATTTGTCTTTTAGCTTAATTTCAGTTTCTAGTTTAGTAGTTTCTTTGGCATTCACTGTATTCCCCTCTGTGGTATCCATCGTAGGACCTCCACCTTTAACTTTATCAAATATTTTTTTTGTTTCAATAAAATCCTGTTGCGTGACATTCTGAGAATTTCTAAGTTGCAATTGAATTGCTGATAAAGCATATAACTGAGCTTCTATAAATTTGTTAGAAATGTATAAGCACAATGCCATATTTCCTCGTAATTGTACTTGTTTTTTTAGTTGTTTAGATTTGTCGGCAATTCTGCAAGCTGCTCGATATTCCTGATAGGCTAATATTCCATTATCTATGCCAACAATCTTTAACTCGTCAGGAGATAATTTCTCAACATCATCTTTATTTAATACTTTCAACTTATCCCATTGACCTTTAGCTGCATTACGATAATCGATCGCAATTTTCCAAAGGTCATTTGCTTTTTTTTCGTGAAAAGTCAAATAACCTTCATTTTGTGAGATTCCTTCCAAGTCTTCTAATAAGCTTTCTTTAAACTTTAGAGTAAAATTAAAAAGTTCGTCACCTAGGTTTCTATGTTTTTCTTGAAGCCAAGTTGGAGTATTAGGTCGACTCGTTTTATCAGAATGGAAATATAAAGCGATATCTCTGAACCGTTTATTAATTTCTTCTTCTGTAAATACAGTATTGCTAAATAAGATTTCTTTTTTGTTTGGAGAATTTAAAAAATGATATATAAAAGCCAATCTTATTGAATAAGCTGCTTTACTAGCTAATGATTTTAATTTCTCTAAAGAGGAAATCATTTGTTGTTTATTTTCTTTATTAATTTTTGATTTTTGATCCTTGCTAGTAGTATCTTTAGTCTGAGAATTTTCCAAATAAATTAGCGACTCATTAATTGGGTTATCTGCTATCTTACGTAAAATTATCTCATATGCAACGATATTCTTATAATCTTCAAAAGATTTGGGTACATTATTAAACTTTTCAAAAGTATTTCGAAAAAACTCAGTAACTTTATCCTCTAAAATGTCTTTAATCTCACTTAATTCTTTCTCAACAGCTTCATGAATATTCTCTTTATTCTCTTCCTCTTCATTAGAAGTTAGACCAATATTTCTTAGGACAGCATCAATGAATAATCTTGACTCTGTTCTGTAGGTATCTATTCTCTCAGGTTTTTCAGAAAAATTTTCAAATTTCTTTGCTAGTTTTTCCTGCTTGCTAGCTTTGTCTCCTTCTCCGCTAATTTTTAAATAATTAGCATATGTTATGTGATATTTATACCTAAAAAGTCCATGCCGTTCTTCATCATCTTCTTCTAGTTTGTCAATCAATTCTTTTCCTTCTTTAAATTTTTGTTCAATATCGGGTTGGTTTAGAGTTTTGTCTTGAAGTTTAAGTTTAATTAAGTTTTCTATTTCCGAAAAAAACTTTTCAATTTGAGTAATCGACATTACGAATTCTGTTATTGCACGTTCTCTTTCACACAAGTAACGCAGAATGCAAAGCAATATACTTATGTGAATTTTTTTTGGGCACAAAAGAGTTTGAATAAAAAAAAGAAAAAAAAAAAGTATTGTTTTTGTCAAACTTTGTTTTATTGATCTAAACTTATTAATGCTGATCCACATGGCATAATACCAATATTGTAAACATTAAGGACAATATGTAAACCAAAATCACAAATATATGACTTCAGATTTTTTCTGATTAGGTTAGTATTTAAATTTTCGTCACGTGTCTGAAGAACAATACCCTTTCATAGCGTGCTTCAAGACAAATTTCATTCATACCAAAAGAAATACAATATATACTGAAAGAAAAAAGCCAACTACCTCTCAAAGTGATCTTTTGCTCGAGTTTACGAATTTAACACTGTACATATTATTTACCGTATGGTATTACCAACCTTTTCACGTACTTTTGGACGCCAAAGAAATATTACCACCTCGAAAGAAACTAAGTGCCTCAGACGACTTGGTAGCGCAGGAATCACATGGTTACTCACCTGAAACGGGATCCTCGTCGGATCGCCATCAACCGTCGCTCATTTTCAAAACAATTACAAATGGATGTGCCACAACTTATACGACAGGGATTAATTTGGCAACAAATTAGTTTAAAGGATTAAGCGGTCAATCATAATTTTTTTATTTCTTTCACTAGTAGTTTCCTTTTCTCACGTCTTTTTGATAAGTCGTCAGTCGTCATTTATACTAGTCTAATTTTTTTTTTAACGATTCCTCTTATACGTTAATATGTACTTATTTTCCGAAATCCGAATCACTTTTCTAAAATAAAATAAAATAAATAAATTTAAATCTTTATTTGAATCATTTAATAAAATACTAACTCTTCTTGTACGTGGTCCATACAAAATTATTTTCTTCATTCTCGTAATTTTGCTTCAATATAATAGGGTCTTATATATAATGTTTTGCAAATTTGAAGGTTGACACAGTATTCATTATTTTATTGAAAATTTATACGTGGTAATATGTACTTTTCAACTTTATAAGAATTTATGAATTATTTTTTAATACGTTGATGAAAACATTAAAAATCTTTATAGAATATCAAATATATCATTAAAATGACAATAGACCCATACTAATTCAGTATCTGCTAGTAGAATTGAGTTGTTTATTGTTCATGTTTCTAATTTCGAAAGAAAAACAATTTCTGATCTTGCTTCATTTACAGAAATCTCTCATCAATTCCTTCTCTTGAGCCCAACTATAAGAGCCAAAACGTATCCTAACAAATACTGAGAGAAATGTTTTGTAAATTACTTAAGGTGGAAATTAAACTTTCTCGTGATCATATAAAACCGTTTCCGAATTTTTTTTTTTTTTTAACCAAAATCTTAAGGTCGGATCGGGACTATATGGAGCATTTTATAAGGTTTCACGAGAAAAATTTCCGATATGACTTCTACCTTTTTATATAGAACGCAAATAAGTTTTTTTTAATTTACAACTGAACTTACTGCACCATCTATTTTTATTGCAATTTTAGCTATGTGCCAGCCAGCCGTATTTATTTATTTTATTTACACAATATAAAGATTTAACTTTAATTAGTTAACAATATCCGCAGTAAGGTGAGTCTAATGATTGGCTTGACCGGAAAAAATTTTCCCGAAATATGCAATAATTACTTAAATGTGTGACCATATAAATTCTCACAATAAATTCATTTTTCTCATAACTTGCAAACAAAACTTTTAACTTATGTCTATCGGAATTGATTCTTTACCAATTGAAAATTGGGATACCGATGCCCTTATCGCTTTTTTACGAAGACAGGACCTAAAATTCCATGACGATGACTTCGAAATTCTTCGCAGAGAAAAGATTACTGGGTTTGATTTCACTAACATGACTAAAGAAGAATTTGAACGTTGTGGATTAAAAATTGGACCATCAAGAAGATTAGTGGAAATAGCTGAGGCATTTAAAAGCCGATCGAAGTGTTCGTTCTCATACCATAGTTTGAAAGAAGTCTTAAAAGAATATGACAGTAACAAAATTTTACTCGGTATTTACATGTAACACAGACTTTTCTAACACTTAAAAACTAATTCTAGTTTCGCTTCCTAAGGAACTTATCCATTCAAGGATGACGATGATGATGAGGAATTGCAACAAAGTGAAAAGAAATTAAAAATATTCAAAAGCGAACAAAGAAGCAAAAACAATAATACTTCTGCAACGTTTTCATTATCCATGAAATCCTTGGGTACGCAAACAACGAACATTCCTGCAGACCCAAAGAGTCTAACCTACCTAATTCAAGGCCTAATATCTAGAAGCATTGCATATTTTCCCATTGATGAAAGACTAGCCTTCATTAGTGGTACGACAGAAGGTATATGCAAAATTAGTAGTGTGGATCCTCGACTGTCAAGTGTGTCGCTGTATTGTGAGTACAAGCTCGGAAAAACCTATATTTATCAGCCACAGAACTTTATAGGATATCCTATTACTCTCAAGAGTCCGTTTTCATCACTTGAAAAGATTATTACAGCACTCGATCGGAGCAAGACAAAGTTGGTTGATAATATAAATTATGTTATTGAGTTCGTTGAATTACCTGACTGTGCAGAGGTCGTCAAATCTAGCCATAACACTTCTGCTTCTACTACGTTGACGAAAACGGTCATGACGCAAACGAAATCCTACGATGAGGATACCAAAGCACTAACGTATATCGCGAAAGGTATAATGTTTAAGAGCATAAGTTGGTTCACCTGGAATGAACAAGAAGCATTCCGCATTGGGAAAAAGAAGGGCATTCTGCGACTAGTCAGCGCTGACCCCAGGCTAACGGGCGTGACATTAACATGCAATTACCAGCTTTCAAATGCTTTATTCAATTTTCAGGGTGATATTGGATATCCAATGATCGTAGATTGTTCATATGGAAGTATTAAGTCTGTGCTCACACGGGATAAGAAGAAGATTATGGATAACCATAATTATAAATTGACATTTCTTTCGTAAAGGCTCTTTGATTAATTTGATATCGACTGTTTACAGCAAAGTATGGCAAGTCGAACGTTTAAGAAAGAAAAAAATAATATTTCAACATGATTTGAAGTTATTAGATTGTAATAGTATATTGTATTTTAATGCGTTAAATTTGCTTTATAGCATTCTATTTTTACTTTTATTTTTACTTGAATATATATTATTACTATTAAATATATATATGTATTTTAACTTCGGGTTGTTTAATAAATTATTATAGTTTTTTTTGTTGTAGATTATATCTAGAGCACGCATAATTATAATTCCGTCTTCTCTTCTTTTCTTGTAACAGGGATGGTATAATATTTATCTGGTGGATATTAAAGAAAGGAAACACAAAATTTAAGATAAAAAGAACAAATATTACACAAATCATCCAAGTTTTACATCATACCCATTGCATTTAATAATTTTGTCACTCTTTCCACTCTTTTGAAGTGGGATTAAATTATTACAAGGTGGTTAATAAAGAAGAAGAAGAATAATAAATCTTTAGATATGAAATAAGTGCAATGCAAAATCAACTAATCATCTTTTTTTTGCGTTATGATCGCCTTCCATATTGATCACGAGTTTCGTAAATTTTTTAGTTAAATAAGTGCTTATATGTAATTACACACTTTCGTACAGTCGAAACAAATTAATACTGATTGATGAGGCTTTGACTTAAAATCCGATGTTGGTCAGTCTGAACTAATAACTCGGAATATTATTGAACTATTGAAATTTTCGTAAATCTTTAATTATAATTCTGTTAAACCCAATCAGTTAAGTACAATGAAAAAAAGGTTTAATTATATATAGTACATGTACAGTATATTGTATAAGAATGATTACTCATGCAAATATGACATGCAACACGTAATCTTAATGAGGAATATGTCCCAAAAACTTTAGTTTAGGAGCGAAAGTAAAAAAAAATAAAAAAAAACTTGTGGGGCTTTTAAAGAACTTTTGCGATCGCTATTGCACATACTAAATTTGATTAAAGGCGAAATTTTCGGTTTTTTAAAAAGAATTTTTCTAACTATCATCAGGGGGTTATGATCACCGGTGACTGAAATTATGGCGATCGATCAGCATTAAAAAAATATAGTGCCGGTAAAAATTAATAATTCAGGCCAACGGTGATGATCACCCCCGGTGATTTGACTTTTAAAAAATTATGACGAATAAGTCGAATCATATACATATTTATGATATTACTTATTTTATATAAATAAAAGTACTGGTTAAAGCCGTCAAATGTGTCATTTATTTTAATTATTAATCCAATTAAGAAATTTCGATATAAAATTTTTAAGTACTGAATAAATTGCTTTATTTAAGAATATTATTTATTTTAATACGGGTTTGCTAATATCACAATAGGTAGTTTGAAAAAAAAAGAACAGTCAAAACCTTGATGTACATATGGAATATCTCAATTACAAATAACGACTCTAGTAAGAATTCCAATAAATTTCATAAAACTTTGTTTGCAAATCCTTTCTCAAAAGACTCTACCAACTTGTTTATAGGGTTATCATCCGAAGAATCAAGCTCTTCTATATATTGATGACCCAGCTCTAAGAGATAAGAGATACTTTCGCAGTCATCCAATTCTATTGGTTCTTCAAGCCAAACTTGCCATCGTTGATAGCGATTTCCCAATAAACTGTACATTAAACTATCAGCATTACCTTCCTGTTGAGGTAGTATTACTTTGTGTAGATTTCGTGCCCAAAAAAGACTACCACGATATAGGTCAGGATTTAAAGGATCCGGGACGTAACTTCCTGTACCAAGCGAAAGCACCGAAATCTTTTCTTTTTCTGCGTTATATTGGATAGCTTTCTCATATGCTGCTATTGTTGGGTTGTTAAGATGTAAAGCTCCGTCTAAGAAAATACCTCTGTCTTTTATCTTGTAAGGTGGAAATAGGGTAGGCGCAGCTGTCGTTGCCATTACAGTATCAAAAAAAGTATCTTCTTTTGAATCATAACTACGATCATCATAACGTGTAAAGAAATGTGTCTGTGCCAAGTTATTTTCATCTACTGCGGGAATAACCAATTCAGTGAGCGCTTGATTCAAGCGTACTTTACCAAAATATTCAGAAAACAACGAACTGCGATCTTGTTCTGTATATTTTGGTTTAAAAAATGACCATAAATTATTATTACTTGTGGTGATAAACAAGTCTTTTGCTCGGTCCTGATAAAGATTTAATAATTTCGAAGCTGAAAACTTTGGTTCTGAATCTGAACATTCATAATATGGATTTTTCTTTGAATCATAAAGTTTCTTCCAGGATGGTACCGATAGTCCAGCAGCAATGATTCCTCCAGCCGATGTCCCAGCTATCATATTAAAAAGATGAGAAATAGGTCTATGGGTACGATATTCTATTTCACTAAGCCATAAGGCAGGCAATATTCCACATACACCCCCTCCATCAATTGAAAGAATGTTATAAGTAGGACTCTCATTACTATGGGAACTTTTAAAATAATCTACGTCGTCATATTTGGTATCCTTTCCTTCTTTTTCGTAACGGTTAATACGCCATTCAATTGTAATTTCTTCACTTATCTTTTTGAGAAGTGACCTCTGTTCATCAGCTAATTTGTTTTTATTATCTAATTTCAATGCCTCAATAATATTCTCCTTAGCATTCTTATAATCAGCCTTCTTTTGATAAGCAATACTACGAAAGTACCAATATTCAGATAAAGAAGTTATGTTTGGACAGATATTTAAAAGTTGAATAACTTGAGTATATTTAGATAATTTTAGTAAACATTTTGCAAAACCAAGTGCAGCATCTAAATTTTCTGGATCTATCTCACGCGCTTTCTCATAGTGCTTTTGAGTAGCTTTCCAATGACGTAAACCATTTAATCGATTAATTATATCTTCTTTCTCAGCTAATTGTTCATAGCATGCTGCTATTGAATTATTAAGACGTAATTTTTCTTGGTTTGAAGATGCCTGTTTTAGTTGTTGACTTAGATAACTGATGTATTTATTATCTACGTAAGTGATTAGAGATAATTTGGGCGATTCTTCGGATGATTCAGCAGATGATTCTTTGCCACTAATAACCCATAATAAATCCTCCAAAACTTCGTAACGCCATTTAGCAGAATTAACAAACTGATAATTATTGTCGATTGAATCTTGAACTTCCTTAATAGTTTTGATAGCCCGCTCAATTTCATCTTCACCAGCATCTAATATATCGAAAATTGCTCGATTAATTTTTGTAATATTGCGCATTTCTTCCAGTCTTGACTGAAAAGGCATTTTTTCGGCATCATCTTTGTGCTCTTGAGCTATATCACTATATTCTTTAAGTAAAACATAATCTTTAATTTTATTAAAAGTACTAACAATACGGCCCTTTCGTAATTCACGAATACGGTCATCAAGTTTCTTAGCATCGTCTACTAGTTTTTCACTTAGTGCGCCATTATAAACACTCATTGCAAATATTTTTAATTCTTTGTTTGTTTTTCCTTCAACTTTTACTTTTCCACTACTTAAAACCTCACCAAGCAAATTTAATAGATAAGCAATACCATCAGATCTAAAACCATACCTTAATAGTGTTTCTATTAACTCATCAGCCTTAATGAAATCTTCACGATTTGTTAATTTTAAAAGACTATCCTTCGTCTTCTTATTATATTCTTCGGAAAGTGCTTTGATAACTTCCTGATATTCCCCTTTATTATAAGCTCCTATTGTTTCGACCATGATTTTATTAAGATTTTCACGAATTTCTGGAACTTCTCTGAGACGGTTCCCTCTTTTCCATAAGTTCACACCGGCCCATATACCTAAACCAAGAGCAAGTAGTCCTCCGACAAGTGCAAGTGGACCACCAACTGACGTAACTCCGATTATGGCTACTGCTTCATAAATATCAAGACAAGCAGTTACTGTTACTGACGTTCCCACAACCACTGCTCCTCCCGTAGCTGCACCCCCCGCAACTTTATGCTTCACAGCACGTTCCTTGGCGTGCAAAATTACTTCTTTAGGTACTTGATAACGGACTAAATTCTGGTCTGCCTTGAGCATTAGCCCAATACTTATTTTTGCCATATCGTTGTTAATTGCATCTTGAATAGCCTTTCTCTCAAAAAAGGAAATTCCTTGATCCACCGTTTTTACTAAAGCCATTGCATTATCAGATTTGTCTTTTAGCTTAATTTCAGTATCTAGGTCAAAAGTTTCTTTAGTATTCACTGAAGTATTCCCCTCTGTAGTATCCGTCGTAGGGTCTCCACCTTTAACTTTATCAAATATTTTTTTTGTCTCAATAAATTCCTGTTGTGTGATATTTTGAGAATTTTTAAGTTGCAATTGAATTGCTGATAAAGCATATAACTGAGCTTCTACAAATTTGTTAGAAATGTATAAGCATAGTGCCATATTTCCTCGTAATTGTACTTGCTTTTTTAGTTGTTTAGATTTATCAACAAATTTGCAAGCTGCCCGATACTCCTGATAAGCTAACATTCCATTATCCATGCAAGAAATCTTTAATTTATCAGGAGATAATTCCTCAACATCATCTTTATTTAATACTTTCAACTTATCCCATTGACCTTTAGATGCATTACGATAATCGATCGCAATTTTCCATAGGTCATTTGCTTTTTTTTCGTGAAAAGTCAAATAACCTTCATTTTGTGAGATTCCTTCCAAGTCATCTAGTAAACTTTCTTTAAACTCTAGAGCAAAATTAAAAAGTTCGTCACCTAGGTTTCTATGATTTTCTTGAAGCCAAATTGGAGTATTAAATCGGTTCGTTTTATCCGAATGGAAATATAAAGCGATGTCTTTAAACCGTTTATTAATTTCTTCTTTTGTAAAGAGAGTATTGCTAAATAAAATTTCTTTTTTGTTTGGAGAATTCAAGACATGATATATAAAATCCAATCTTTTTAAATAAGCTACTTTACTAGCTAATGATTTTAATTCCTCTAAAGAAGAAATCATTTGTTGTTTATTTACTTTATTAATTTTTGATTTTTGATCCTTGCTAGTATCATTAATCTGAGAATTTTCCAAATAAATTAGCGACTCATTAATTGGGTTATCTGCTATCCTACGTAAAATAATTTCATACTCAACGATATTCTTATAATCTTCAAAAGATTTGGGTAAGCTATTAAACTGTTGAAAAGTATTTCGAAAAAATTCAATAACGTTATCATCTAAAATATCTTTAATCTCCCTTAATTCTTTCTCTACAGCTTCATGAATATCCTCTTCCTCTTGATTAGAAGCTTGATGGATATTTCCTAGAGTAGCGCCCACAAATAACCTTGACTCTGTTCTGTAGGTATCTATTATCTCAGGTTTTTCAGAAAAATTTTTAAATTTCTTTGCTAGTTTTTCCTGCTTACTAGCTTTATCTACTTCCCCGCTAACTTTTAAATAATTAGCATATGTTATATGATATTTGTACCTAAATAGTCCATGCCGTTCTTCATCATCTTCTTCTAGTTTGTCAATCAATTCTTTTCCTTCTTTAAATTTTTTTTCAATCTCAGGTTGGTTTAGAGTTTTGTCCTGGAGTTCAAGTTCAATTGAGTTTTCTATTTCTGAAAAAAAATTTTCAATTTGAATAATTGACATAATGAATTCTATTATTACTCGTTCTATTTCACACAAGTAACGAAGAATAAAATGTAAATTGCGTAAAAAGTTCAATAAAAAAAAGGAAAAAAAAGTGAAAAAAAATATAGTTTTTGTGGTTGTACCACAAAGTACAATACAAACTCTGTTTTATTGAAATTGCTTCAATGTAAAAATTTTATTTTTTTAGTCAAAAGATACACGCGGTTACAATTCTTATCTGGCCAATATTGTAAAAATTGACAAATATGTAAATCAAATCACAAACACGTGACTTAGATTTTCTTGATTAGGTTAGTATTTAAATATTAGAACAATACTAATATTCAAAGAAAAAATTCCATTCATACCAAAAGAAGCCATAATATATACCGAAAGAATTATTCTAGTCACATTACTGCATGGTATTACCGAACTTTCCCGTTTTGGACGCCCCAATAATTGGTATGCTTTCGGATAGAGGTTAGAACCGGAATCGGTTATCGGATTTATAACCGGGTTTAACCGATTCGAAATTTAAACGGTTTACGATTCGGTTAACCGGTTATATTCAAACCGGTTTAAACCGATTAATCGGTTATATTCAACCGGTTTAAACCGATTAACCGGTTATATTCAAACCGGTTTAAACCGATTAATCAAACCGATCAAAACCGATTTTTAATTTTTGTGAATGGTGACTAATGAGTAATGACTTAATGTTCAATATTTGTTAATTAACTGACTACGATAACCCAATCTAAGCATTTCCGGTTAATTGAAATTTTAACTGGATTAATACTAACAAAAAAAAGTATAATTTATCTTATTAATTGCACTTTATTTGTGGTCATTTCCGCCACAACTAACCATTTATATAATAATAATTGTTATTATTTTTCAGTTTTTTAACGTAAAAGCTGAAACTACCTTTTTAGTCTTTTTTTTTTATTAATTTTTTTATCCCTTTTTTTATTATTATCGTACTTTACATAAAATAAATAAATTTTATTATTATCGTTTCTTTAATCAATTTACCAAAATTTTTTTAACCCAAAAAATATTTATTCTTTTTTGGGTCAAGACTATAAGATTAGAACTATGTCCTACAGCTTTTTCGATATTTAGTAAGATTTTTTTTAGTCAATGATATTGGTTTCTGACGTTTTTTTTAGTGAGAATTTTTTTGATTTAGTGAGAACTTTTTTTGTTTATTGAGATTTTTTTTTTCAATTTAGTGAGAACTTTTTTGATTTATTGAGATTTGTTTTTTTTCAATATTATTTCCGACTAATTAATTTGAGTGAAAATTTTTTTTCTTGATATTAATGAATTTTTTTTTTAGTGAGATTGTTTTTAATTATATAGATACATAACCATATTAATAATTTGTAATTAAATCTATAATAAATTTTTTGATAAATCTATATAACTATAACGATAACTAAAAAAATTTGTCTGACATTTGGATTTATAATTAAAACCCGTGACATGATCTATTTATTCAATCTGACCGTGTACATTTCAATCAACTAATACAATTTCAGTTAATGAAATTTTACCTTAATCAGAATTATAATTTTTCAAACCGAAAAACCCTTTCTTTTGGTTTAGTTTTTTTTAAACCGAAAAATTTTTCTCATTCTTTTCACGTTTAGGTTTAATTTTTTCACTCTTTTTGGACCAAATTATTGTCCTTTTTTTTCGGAATTTTTTCGGTACTTATTTTTTTTTCAGATTCCTTGTTTTTTCAGAAATTACCTTTTTTGAACTGATCTCTTTCTTTATCCATTTTCTTTCCCCAAACTTTTTTTAATTTTTTTTTTCTTTCAATTTTTTCTTAATTATATTAATAATTATATTGGATTCATGGGGTATATTTGCAGTCGGGTAGGTGTAATTTATTAACTTTTCCTTTACACCGTTCTCTTTGAGTATAATAATAAAAATAATAATAATAATAAATAATTATATTTACAAAATTATTATTTTTTTTAGGAAAATTGACCGACGTTGATAGTAAGATTAAGATTTTTTCGATTAAATTGGACGCTGGATAAATAGTTTGATTTTCAAATTCATGAAAAACTTGTGACTTCAAATCTCATAGAGAACAATGAGTTTAACTTTATATGGTATATGTTGTAACTCAGGGGTACAAAATCTGCATAATTCGGAATATTTCATAATCTGGTACAATGATATTTTCCAAACAAATACGTAATTCAGAATTCACTGCGCATATTACTTTTTTTATTTTCTAAGAATTTATTATTATACTTTAAAAAAATAAATAAAAATAGAAAATGATTTCTTTTTTTACTTTAATTTTTTTGACGAAAAAATAAAGGCAAATCAAAAATGGAAAGTGATTTCCTTTTTAAAATCGAATCTTCTTTTTCTGAATTGCGTTATTCAGGTTTTTTTTAGTTTTTTAGCCATTTAAAGTCTGAAGAACGTTACGTTCATTTTTCTGATCTGATGATATAACTGAAAAAATTAAGATATGCGGTCATTATCAGAAAATAAAAAAGAATGCCGGAAGATCTTCACTTTATTTCTATAATCGATTTGATGATCTATTAAAAAAAGAATCTTGACGTGTAATATTTATTTTTAGCCACAAATGTAATATAACTCTTTTTAGTATAATATACGTTCATTGTACATAATAAATGACAACTTTGTTTACTGATCATATGTGCGAAAAAAAATCTCCTTTTGTTAAAAATATCATACAGATACATTCCTTTTTTTTTATTTGAAATTGATTAAAATTGTATTCTACGGTAATATGATAATCTTGAATCAAATAATATTTATAATTTCGAGTTTGCAATTTACAAAGAAAAAATTAAGAAAAAAAAATGACTTCAGACGATGATACCGGAACTATACGGTCTACACCATCTACGCCATCCACAAGCCGAAGACGGATTGGCATTACCCGTAGTAACAAAAGCCATACCTCTTTCTTCTTTCGCACTGACGAATCAAATTTTGAAATTGCATACTGTAAAATTTGTGAGCGTGCCAATCAAAATCCATATCCATACAGTCGTAAAGGTGGTAATACGTCAAACTTGATCGCTCACCTGCGTGACAAGCATGGCATAATCAAGGAAAACTATACCGAATATTTGGATGTTAATAATGAGGTACGATATTGCTAAATTAATAAAATATCATTTATATGACATAATTAAATGACTGGAATTTCTTATTAGCCAAAAGTTGTACAAACAAGCAATCGTCCAAGTACATGTTCTCCGGAAAGGCAAGAACTATTATCGCAAATGTTGATGAAATTTATTATTCATTTTGTCCTGCCTTTATATGTTTTACAAAATGAGTCCTTCCGAGAGTTTGTTTATACTTGTGAACCAGGATTTAAGATCCCATGTGAAAAAACAGCAAAAGGGTTAATTCACGAAGCCTATAATTGGTGTCATAATCAGCTTCAATCACTCCTTCTAAATAGTGTAACAGCTATTCACCTAACAACCGACCTATGGACATCAAAATCTCGACATAGTTTTCTTGGTGTCACGGCAACTTGGTTATCGTCAGATTTTAAATTTAGAGAAGTCTTACTCTCTTGTAATCATATTGAATATCCGCACACCGGTGAAGTCATTAGTGAGGAATTATTTCAAATAATTCATAGATGGCGTCTTGATAATACAGTTTTTACCATAGCGACGGACAATGCTGCCAATATGCTGAAGGGGATAGAGCTATTGCACGATAACTATTTCAATGTAATAAGACGTCAGCCATGTGCGGCTCATACACTGCAATTATCAGTGCAAGAAGGGCTAAAGCAGTGTAGGGAGATTCATTGTCGCATTAAAAATTTGCAAAATTTTTTTCGACTCCCTAAACAAGCTCAACGACTACGTGAGGCACAAAACGAAATGAATCAGGACATTCAACATTCAGTAGTAAGTCCTCTGGATGTTTTAACGGATACAAAAACTAGGTGGAACTCTACGTATCTGGCATGGAAACGAGTTCTGGAACTACATAATGCAATGAGGTTTGTCTCGGCAACTTTACTTTCTAAGCCGGATCGTACTTCACAAAAGGAAGGGGAAAAGCTAGAGAAATTATGTTTATCAGTCGAAGAGAAAGAGTAATTAATATTAACTTATTGTTTTTATAATTATATTTATTAATTAAACTCTGTCTTTAACGAAAATTTTTTGGTTTACGTATAGGTTTTTACAAGAAATGATGAAGTTGCTGGAACCAATTGAAAGAGTAACCCGACGTTTATGTGGCGCTGAATATCCGACGCTTAGTCTTGTTTATCCGTATATGGAATTGCTCAAAAAGAAATTTGCCCCGAAAGATAATGAAAGTGTTCAAACTTACATAAATCTTATATATGGTGAAAGTTACGAAGACGATGATGATAGCGTTACAGATGATGACATTCCTACTGCTGGTGCTCGTCAGCATTGGCAATATGCACATAGGCAGTTTTGTCAAAAAATGAAAAATACTCATGTTCAAGGACAGAATATCAGAAATCAAGTACGTTCTTCTAATACTGAATTGGACAACTTAGATCCAAATAGAGTAGAGTATTTGCCATCTATTTCTACTAACGGTTTGCTTCAGAAAGTTCGTGCTGCAATTTATTTGTCAATGGATGAATTATGGGCAGTTCCAACAGACATTGCTTTAGTCGCTACATTTCTTGACCCTAGATTTAAACATTTTCATTGGTCAACAGAAGAAAATCGAAATGAGGCGCAGCGTCTAGTACTAATCTTATACGAGGAATTAAAACAAAGTTTAAATGCTCCAGGCATTGAAGAACCTTTAATTATGGATAAAAGCTATGAAGAAGATGATTTTTTTCTTGAATTAGAAGGCGGTTTACAAACAAATCCTGAAGATAGCGAGGTAGCTTGTTATACAAGGTTAGAGCCAATTGGAATTAAAAATGACCCATTGGAATGGTGGTCTAAAAACAAGGTCATCTTTCCTGTTCTATCCCAACTGGCACGAAAATACCTTTCTATTCCGTCCACATCAGTGCCGAGCGAACGTTTATTTTCAGACGCTGGAAATCATATTTCAGCAAGAAGAACCCGCTTATCACCTGATTTGGTGGATAAAATGTTATTTTTAAAGCGTAATAGTTTTCATTTTGAAATTTTCCCATCTAAAGAAGAGTAATTAAATATTTTTTTCTTAGTTTATAAATATGAACAATGAATAAATAATGAACAATTAATAATTAATTAATAAATAATGAACAATTAATAATTAATTAATAAATAATGAACAATTAATAAGTTCAAATTATATCATGAAAATTTAAGCGTTTAAAATAATTAATAATAAAAAATTTAACAGCAGCATAATAATTACATAATAATTAAGAAAAAAGCATGCGATACAGTATATAATGCGAATATTTCATGTAATATTTTATTATTAATATAACCGTTTAATTGTTGCGATAACTTACAATAAAAATCGAGGTAATAAAAAAAAAAGAAACTGATGAATCGAAATCGGTTGCAACAAACCGGTTGCAATCGGTTTAAACCGATTGCAACAAACCGGTTAACCGGTTTAAACCGATTGCAACAAACCGGTTAACCGGTTTAAACCGATTGTAACAAACCGGTTAACCGGTTTAAATCGGTTGTAGTAAAAACCGGTTAATCGAATTGCAAACCGATTATAATCGTTTTAAACCCGGTTAGTAAAATTCAAATCGGTTCTAACCTCTACTTTCGGATGAGGCACTACCACGACCTGGTGGCGCAGGAATCACATGGCTCGAAAAAATCACGTGTTACCAGTTGCTCACCTGAAACATTTTTCAATTCAATTTTCGCAGGTTCGTTCCATCAATTTGTCGCTCGTTTAATATTTTACAGCATTTCATTTTCAAACCAATTACTAGTAGTTTAAGGAATTAAGCGGCTAATCTTAATTTTTTTTTATTAAGTGTTCTTTCACACTTTCGTACTACTGTAGCGATTCCGATTCTACTAGTAGTTTACTTTTATTACAAAAAGGTGTTCGTTTTGATAATAAGTCGTCACTTATCATGTTTTTTTAGCTATTCTCTTATAACTTATATTTCCGAACCACTTTCCTAAACTAAAATAAAATAAAATGAATTTAAATTTCACTACTAGAACCATTATTTAATAAAATAACAAGATACTTAATACTCCTGTACTTGATTCATACTATTTACAACTGAAATCTTTTTCCTTCAGTATGATATGTTCTTATATAATATTTCGCAATCACATGCAAAACTTGAAGATTAATATATAGTATTGAATTCGTAATGTTATCCACGGTTCCTAGTTAAAATTTGTGATTTTTTTTCTTGATATTCTCACGGGTGAGGTTTATTTAAAAAGATGGATAAAAAGTCTATATAAAAAGTCTAAATAAATATATTAAAGGGCTTTATTGTACGGATACCGTGGGATAAATCAGTTATTTCACGGAGTCACTGGAATTTTCATGATTTTCACGGCGCAGCCGTGAAAATCATTATTTTTTAATAAAAATTTTTTATAAATATCAAATATGATATCGTTAAAATAAAACAGACCCATACAGATTCAGCGTCTACTAAAATTTAGAAATCGATCAGAATCAATCTGAAACCACAAATGCTAATTTTTAAAGCATAAACTTGTAAAATGAATAAATGCAAATTCATTAATTGATTTATTTACCTACAGCTATTTATCATAATAGTAAAAATATGTTTATTAGTTTAATTTCGCGCTTATAAGTATTAAAATAAATTAAATACATACTAATTTATTATTTGTTGTTGTTGATAACATCCACGTGTTTTCGGTTTTCAATTTCATAATACAGTATTTACTCCTATCAATCCAGCTATTTGCTACTTATTAGATACATAAGATTTGAATTCGTCCCATAATTTATAGTAATTATGATAAATTCTATTTTTTCTACAAAATATTTAATGTATAATAAACAACAATGAGATAAATTTAATAAATTTGACTGATCAAAAATTTTTCTAGATTAATATTTTCTTTATGTATTTAATATATATAAAAGCAATAAAATAACAAATGGAATGAATAATTTTTCGGTGAAATGTTCATTCGGTGAAATGGCTTCGGCGAAATGGAATTTGACGAACCTGATACCGAATAATGATAAGATAACTTACCTGCACTTTTTTAGGATTGATATACCATTTGCAATTAGTTTGATGAATATTTTTCCTTGCTTTGTTGATATTTACTACTTTTGGTCATTTAAATGGGTACAATATATAATTAAACTTTTTTTCATTGTAGACTCAACTGATTTGGTTTAACAGAATTATAATTAAAGCAAAAAATCAACGCTGTTGAAATAGAAAATTTGAATATAAAATATTAAATCTAGAATTAAAAATTACTCATTTGACATATACAGATTGTCATAAGTTATCAAAAAATTTTACTCATGCAAATATGACATGCAACACGTAGTCTTAATGAGGGTTTTGTCGTAAGTATATAGCAAAAATAGTTAGTGAAGTAAAAAAAAAGAAATAATTTTTTTTCGACTGAAAGTAAAAAAGTCGGTTCAGTTTTTTGTTTATATTAACGAACGTTGTTTTCTTCTTTTTTTAGGCGTCTCTCTACTCTCTGCCTTCTCTTCTCTTCTCCTTTCTTTAAATCTTCTTTTTATTAGGTCTTTTATTCCTTTCGCTCTTTCCATTTTCTCTTTCCTTCCCTTTCCCTCTATTCCCTCGCTCTTTCTCTTTCCCTTCCCTTCTCTTTCTCTAATCCCTCGCTCTTTCGACCTTCCCTTATTCCCTTCTCTCTCCCTTTCCCTCCCTGATCAATGCTGCTGCACCTTAACGTTGGTGATCAGGTGACAAGAAGTTTTTAAAAGACTTTTACATATATTTATAACTATTAATTAAAATAAAATTTTTAATTTTTCATCTACGATTAATATTTTGATTATTTGATTTTAATTTTTCCCCAAGATTATTAATTAGTAGATCTAAAATTATTGAGATTTCCTTTGATTAAATTCAGTTAATTTTAACTTTAATTAAACATAGATCATTTAAACTTTACAGTGAACCTTGTGTGTAGTGTACGATGATCTTTTGCGAGTATATATAATATTATAGTATGATTTTGTAAGTTAGTATGTTTGAGGAATTTTTATGATTTTTTTATGGTACATATACTGTATACTTACTATCACAGTATAAAATAATATGTATGTATGATAGTATGATTTAAAATTTTTTATTACGTACAAATAACACATAATTATGATAATTCGAAGTTTGATCAATAGTTACACAATATATTAAATACGAAAAAATATAATTATGTAATTATCTTTCCCTAATTTTTTTAATCAATTCAATATTTATTTTTTTTTTTAAAAAAAAAAAATTCTTTTATAAATATTTTATTACATAAATATAAATAAATTTAAAATAATTACATCAATTAAAATATTAAATAATTAATAAAATGGAAATAGTTCTCTCAGATGTAAAAGAAATTATCAAAGCTTTAGGATTGGTAAAGAAAAAGGAATTAGGATTATAATGTAGCAAGAAATCCTATAATTTTTTTTTATAGGTAATTTAGTATTTTGCAGGCAGAAGCAGCTTCAATTTAAGTTCTGCGAGAAGTTAAAAAAATTTAAAAAATTCAAATTTAATAAAGAACATATGAATACATTTTTACAAAAAGCTTAAATATGATTATGTTTATAATTTATTTATTCAAAGATAAATGCACATAAATAATAACATGCTAGTATAACAAATAAAAATATTTATTTTAAATTTTTATTTTCATATTTTGGTAAAAAGAATGATTTATATACGTATGTATGATTTTTTTTCACTACATACGTACAATTTAGGTGATTATAAAACATGTAGTGTATGCTTAACGTTGTATGTATTGTATGCTTATGTATTTTTGATTGTGTCCATACATGTATGGATATTAAAATGAACGTTTGCTATGTATGGTACAATTTTTCTATATTTAGCAATCAAAGTAATACGTACGATTTAAAATCATACGTACTAACAAAAAACGCAAACTACATACTATTTTACAAAATTAAGATCAGATACGCCGATCTTTTCCTACGTACCTACGTACGTATGGTTGCACTGAGTGTACTGTACGTATATACA